AAACCCCATCTCTATACTAAAAATACAAAACATTAGCTGGGCACGGTGGCGCGTGCCTGTAATCCCAGCTACTCAGGAGGCTGAGGCAGGAGAATTGCCTGAACCCAGGAGGCGGAGGTTGCGGTGAGCCAAGATTGCGCCATTGTACTCCAGCCTGGGTAACAAGAGTGAAACTCCGTCTCAAAAAAAAAAAGAATTTCCCAGTTTTATTACAGATAAATAAATAAATAAATAATAATATTGGGTGATATTGAAACACATTTAATAATAAACGTACTTCGCTGAATCCTTTTTGCATGGTCTAATAATTTTTACTTATTTTTCATGCAGTTGTTATCACTTTAGTGTTGTGTTTTTTTTTCTTTTTTTTTCTTTTTGTTGTTTGTTTTAAAGATGGGGTTTCACCGTGTTGGTCAGGCTGGTCTTGAACTCCTGACCTCAGGTGATCCGCCTGCCTTGGCCTCCAACGTGCTTGGATTACAGGCATGAGCCACCATGCCATCATGCCCGGCCATGTTTTTGTTTTTTTGAGAGAGGGTCTCGCTCTGTCATCCAGGTTGGAATGAGGTGGCTCACTGTAGCCTCAATCTCCTGGGCTTAAGCCATCCTCCCACCTTAGCCTTCCAAGTAGCTGGGACCACAGACATGTACCACTATGCCTGGCTAATTTTTATTTTATTTATTTTTTTTTGAGATGGAGTTTGGCTCTTGTTGCCCAGGTTGGAGTGCAATGGCACGATCTCGGCTCACCACAACCTCTGTCTTCTGGGTTCAAGTGATTCTCCTGCCTCAGCCTCCTGAGTAGCTGGGATTACAGACATGAGCCACCACGCCTGGCTAATTTTGTATTTTTAGTGGAGATGGAGTTTCTCCATATTATTCAGTCTGGTCTTGAACTCCCTACCTCAGGTGAGCCACCTGCCTCAGCCTCCCAAAGTGCTGTGATTACAGGCGTGAGCCACCACGCCCGGCCTATTTATTTATTTATTTATTTGTAGAGACAGGGTCCAACTATGTTTCCCAGGCTGGTCTCAAGTTCCACTCCTGGCTTCAAGCAACCCTCCTACCTCAGCCTCCCAAAGTGCTGGGATTACAGGTGTGAGCCACCATGCCCAGCCATCATTTTAGTTTTAGAAGTTTTTTGTTGTTGGTGGTGGTTTTTTTTCTTCCTTTTTTTTTTTTTGGAGAAGGTGTTTTGCTCTTATTGACCAGGGTGGACTGCAATGGGACGGTCTCAGCTCACTGCAACCTCTGCCTCCCAGGTTCAAGTGATTCTCCTTCCTCAGCCTTCCAAGTAGCTGGAATTGCAGGCACCCACCACCATGCTTGGCTAATTTTTGTCCTTTTAGTAGAGATGGGGTTTCACCATGTTGGCCAAGCTGGTCTCGAGCTCCCGACCCTGGGTGATCTACCTGCCTCAGCCTCCCAAAGTGCTGGGATTACAGACCTAAGCCACCACACCTGGCTTAGAAGTATTTTATATTACAGAAAAAAAACTATAAAAATTTGTTTTATTGCCAAGGAAATATTTAGAAATTTGGACTGACATCACCATGATAATTTACAGTAATGGGAAGGCATTGACCTCGAGAACTTAGGGAACAATTGATGACTCCTGGGAACACAGCATTTTGTGATATGCAGAGTAAACTTTGGGCCAGTGGTGTTTTCCCAGATCCTACTGTCATTTGGCCCTTTTCCGTCATCCCAAGCCCACAGCCACTTGACACAAAAGGCATATTCAGGAGGGCTTCCCTTTGATGCCACAACATCTAAGGAGCAGGCCTTAGGGAGCAGATGGTGAGCCCAACGAGGATAAAGAAATTAATATGATCTGATGTTGTCTTAATGTTTTGTAGTACAAAGCGCACGGCTATGCATTATCTCCGTTTGAACCTTACAACGGTTCTACAAGGTCAGTATAAATCCACAATTCCTCATCCACAATTCTAAATTTCCAAAAAACCTGTACTATAGTCTATGACAAGGGTTGCCTTAGATTCTGTTGGAGATGTTAGCTATATATGGTATGTTCAAACTGTTTCTTTTGCAAATCTTTAACTTTTTGAATTCTGAAACTCATCTGGTGCAGAGTTTTGGACAAGGACACGTGGACTTGAATTACTACCCCTATTTTACCTATGAGGAAACACAAACTTCTTGAAGGGACAGTCTTCCTCCATAGGGCTCTTGGGCAGAGTGGGGCTGATGAATTGTAAGTAGGTGGTAGTGAAGGCTCCAGGTGAGGGTAGCTTCTGTGCACCCTGCCTCACTCTTTCTCTCCTGGTCTAACACAGCCTCTAAAGGCCAAGGTGCCTGTAGTTTAGGCACTCATGGGTTGCTCTATCTCCTAGCCTCTCCAACGATATGACTTCCAGCAGGCATGGCCTGCGTCTGCAGGTGTCGGCTCTTCCTAGGAATTTTGCATTTCTCTTACCAGATAATTGAAATACCACCAGTGGAGGAGATATTTAGCAGAAAAGAACGTAAGATTTATTTTTACAATCAAAGCAGTCCCAAACGAAATAGTCTCAGGAGGTAAATTATTTATTTATTTATTTGTTTGTTTATTTAGAGACAGGGTTTTGCTCTGTCACCCAGGCTGGTGTACAGTGGCATACTCACAGCTCACTGCAGTCTTGACCTCCCAGGCTCAAGTGATTCTCCCACCTGAGTAGCTAGGACTATAGGTACACACCACCATACCTGGCTACTTTGTGTGTGTGTGTGTGTGTGTTGTTGTTGTTTTTAGACAGTCTCCCTTTGTCGCTCAGGCTGAAGTGCAGTGGCGCAATCTTGGCTCACCACGACCTTGCCTCCCAGGTTCAAGCGATTCTCATGTCTCAGCCTCCTGAGTAGCTGGGACTACCAGCGCAAGCCACTATGCCCGGCAAATATTTGTCTTTTCAGTAGAGACAGGGTTTTACCATGTTGGCCAGACTGGTCTCGAACTCCTGACTTCAAGTGATCCTCCTGCCTTGGCCTCCCAAAGTGCTGGGATTACAGGCATGAGCCACTGTGCCTGGCCAGATTTATTATTTTTTTAAACAAATTTATACAAAGATTCTACTGCAGGCCAAGTCATGTGAGAGATTCCAGGAGGAGGCGGGTAGGTGGAAAACCAGAAGGGAAAAACACTGATATCCTTTGCTTGTCTTCAAGATCAGGGATTGGCAAACTCTAGCTCATGGCCTGGTTTTGCATGGCCAGGGTTTCACAAAAAGATTGTTAAAAATAAGCAAGCAAGCAAACAAAAAAAGAAAGAATAATATGCAACAAAGGCTTATGTGGCCACAGAGTCTATAGTATTTGTTATCTGGTCCTTTACAGAAAAAGGTTGCTAATGCTTGTCCAAGATGATCAAATGAGGAAATTAGACATACAAGGAAATAATTAGCTCTGAACTATATATAAAAAAGGGTTATTATTATTTTTGAGGTGCAGTCTTGCTCTGTCACCCAGGCTGGAGTACAGTGGTGGAATCTTGGCTCATTGCAACCTCCGCCTCTGGGGTTCAAGTGATTCTCCTGCCTTAGCCTCCTGAGTAGCTGGGATTACAGGCGCCTGCCACCACGCCTGGCTAATAGTTTTTTGTATTTTTAGTAGAGACGGGTTTCTCCATATTGGTCAGGCTGGTCTCGAACTCCCGACCTCAGGTAAGCCGGCTGCTTCGGCCTCCCCAAATGCTGGGATTACAGGCGTGAGCCACTGTGCCCGGCCACCTTTTTATTTTTATTTTTAGAGACAGGGTCTCACTATGTTTCCCAGGCTGGTCTGGAACTCCTGGGCTCAAGTCATCCTCCCACCTTGGCTTCTCAAAGTCCTGGGATTACAGTTGTGAGCCACTGTGCCTGGCCCAAATAAGTATTTAATAAGGTTTTGTATTTAATAAACAATTACTTTATATGTATGTGTAAATTGTAAGCATTAGCCTTCTTGGAATTACAATATGCTGTAAGCTGTAATAATTTAAACCACATAGTACTGGTGCAAAAATAGATGAACTGACCCTAAATAAGAAGTCATTTAATGCCTAATGAAGGCACTAATTGTGATGGAAGCCGGGCAGGGAGGCTTATGCCTGCAATCCCAGCACTTTGGGAGACCATGGTGGGTGGATCACCTGAGGTCAGGGGTTCGAGACCAGCCCAACCAACATAGTGAAACCATGTCTCTACTAAAAATACAAAATTAGCTGGGCATGGTGGTGCATACGTGTAATCCTAGCTAGTTGGGAGGCTGAGGCAGGAGAATCACTTGGACTCAGTAATCAGTGGTTGCAATGAGCTGAGACTGTGCCATTGCACTCCAGCCTGGGCAACAAGAGGAAAACTCCACCTAAAATAATAATAATAATAATAGAAAAA